AACTGTAATAAGCGGAAATTCGGGATATACAAGGATACCGTGTTCAATAAAACAAGAGTTCATAGTTCATGAGCAATCACCACACACTGATCGGTAGTGATGAAGCATGATCCACTTCCAGTAATTTTATTCCTCAACGGATAAGAACAAAATTAATTAGAATTTGTTCCGCGATAACCACTGATCTTGAGGATTCCCGCTCCTAGAACAACTCGGTAGACAAACACAACAAACTGGATCACGTGTACACATTACTCTTGGACCATATGATGTAACGAAAGAAAATTCATTTCGTTACCCAACAGCTGACTTGGAGCCCCTTCTAAGATGTAAGAACAACGGCCTCCGCAAAGTTTCAACGGCAAAATGAGTTTATGGACAGTGAAATGAAAATGGATTGACACTCGTCGAATTAGAATCTGAATAATCGAACAGACAGAAGGAGAAAACCACGACACAGCAAGTAATGCAGATACCACCTTGGTTCGCGATAAACCGTTTGTAAAAATAAATCGTGCTAAGTTCAGTGAACCGGTGAAAAAACTCTGTCGACTGGTGCTACGGGAGTCAATACCGAATACTATTGTTGGTGTTGGTAAGTTCTCCGAGCTGAAATTATTGTTCACAGACGTAGCCAAGCTAGGTGACATAATCAGTGCGACTTTGGAAAAAAGGTTGTAGAATTCACCAAGACTAACATCCGCTTGTCGAGCTATAATCATTCCATCCCATTTCTATCCAGTACTATTTTCAGATCGAATAATTTGAAAAGGAACAGCACGAGTACTCAATGATCTACATCATTTCTCCCTCCTCGAGTATGAGGTTGCATCAGTAAAAACCATTTACGTGATGTGCATCGGTGAATGAAAACCCTTATTACTCTTATGAGGCGAGCTACATTGGTCAAACTACGAAGCAGTTGGTAACGCGGGAACGTGAACACCATCCCGCTGGTTCGAATACATTGAAACTAGAACTGTTGTCTAAGATTGCCAACACATACTGGAGACGTGGCACTCAGTTAGTGTTGGTCCAGCCTTCCGTACGCTTCGATCATTATAAACAACTGCGGTTTATTCTATCCCATGTAAAGCTATCCAGATCACACGCACACATACACGCACAAACACACGTCCTCTGCAATCAGAATCAGCTGATACCTTCACAATGACCCAATAATAGATTGACTGGAGATATACCGACGGCTAAATCGAGAAAAGTTCTTGTAAACTTACATATCATAGTCTCTGTAAATAGTTTGATGCGATCAAATCCAGTTTGAGTGTTACAAACAACCCACATAATTGTACCGGTCCCTTGATGGATTGTTTCGTCTACCAGTTCAGTTCAGTTTGTAAAACCATTAACCATTTTGTCTACCGGTTTTTTTTTCAATCATTTGCTTGTTTTACTTTCATTAAACATACAGTGATGCCCATTTATTTACGCATGGTTACCCAAGCAACCATTCAGAGTAAATGTCACGGTTCGTATACATGAAAAGCTATCATTATGTTTTCTTTGCTAAGAAATAATTGTTGCTTTTTATTAAATAAAATGCTTCATACAATCAGACAGATTACCGTCCATACTCGACTTCTGGTTCTTTCTTTTCCCATAGTTTGAACAGGAACTCCGAAAACTAGACGTGAGTTTGTGTTCTCAAATTCAATGAATGATACACCCACCCCCTGTGCAAATGTACACTGTTTGAATTTCCAATGAATGAATTTCCAAT